TGAGAACCCATTAAAGATTCTGGCTTTTGAACCTTGTGCCTATAAACTCTGATGCCCTATCCACCTTTCATCTCTACATTTTCACTTATTAATTTGTTAAAAATTTCTAGACCTTTCTTTCAGCTGAGCTATTTAAAATTACAATAAAAACAACAAGAACAGAATCAGATCGGGAAAAGATCAAATTAAAAACTGAACTAAATATTTAAAGTCTATGGATAAAACAATTTTAATTGATTTTGGAAGAGGTTCCCTGTTGTCTGAAGTTACGTCGTGGAGTTTGATGGCTCAGTTGAGTTCTTTTTAAAGTTTTAGCCTGCAGCAGACAGGATCAGAGTTATCTCCATTTGGAAAGCAAGGAAGAAACTTTGCTTGAGGAATCAGTCAGAGGGTTTTTCCATGTAGAATATATTTAGGACTCAGTTTCTGCCACCTTAATCAGTTTAACGCTCCTGTTATGTTGTGAGTAAAATTGACCCATTTTAAAGTTTAAAAATAAAAAAAATAGTTGGAAGTACTTTTTATTTTTATTTTTTGCATGAAACTTCTATTTGTCTTAATAGGTGCGCTCTAAAAATTACACATTTGTAACCCCCCCTGCATCTACTTTTTATATAGATACTGTTTGGGTCAATGTGACGAGGCAGTCAAGTTAAAGAGTAAAAAGATCAAAAAATGTCCAATTCTATATGTTTCCTTGCAGCTCTGAACCATATTTCACCACACACAGACACACACACATACACACACCTATGTACACTACACCACACACATACACGTACACGCACACTTTCTCACAACTCTCTTTACTTCACTAGGAAACTGTGAGAAAGCAGGTGTTCACACAACTTTTGACCAGAGCGTTTTCTGTTCCTGTGGGCAAACTACACCCACACTGACTGGACACTCAGCAGAAGTGGAGGAAACATAAATACTCTTTGCATAACTCTTGTGTCTTGATTTTAATCAGCAAATCAAGTTGACCCTGAACAGTATATGTGTCTCAAGTTCAATTATAAAGATCACCCAAAATGTAAAATAACAAAAATTTACAGCAGATCGATTTCAATGAAAATATTGTTGTTTTTTTGTTTGGTCTTTTTCAGTGGACATAAAAAAATGCAAATTGTATTTTTTATGTCCAAATGAGTAGATGAGTAAGTTGTCGTTATTGATCCTTTATTTGTAAGACATCACTGCCCAAATATTGATTGAAATGGTTGGTATTAGAGTTAATCATTATACAAAAATGTTTTGGAGAAACTTTTTGATTTCCGACACTATTGCACTATCCCGTTCAAATTGACCCGCAAACATTATTGCTGTGCCTTAGAAACGAACATAACAGGAGGGTTTTAAACCACAAACTCTACTGCTAAAGAAACACTATGAGATTTTGTGAAGTTACATCTTTGCGTCAGAGACAGTGGTTGGTTAGACCAGGTAACCTTATAAAAAAAAGAAAATCTTTTTCCCAGCAGACTACAACCCATCTGCTGAAAGTCTTCTGAGAAAATACCAGCATGTTGCAAAACTGATTCAAGGGAAAACTACATAGCATTTTCTTTGACTACCGTGAAACTTTAGGGGTTCAAGTTGCTTTCCGTGGTAGAAATTTGCTGTTCAGTGAGTCCCCTTCTGGAAAACAGTTGACTCCATGAAAGTTTGTTTCTCTATTCCCAGAACTGAGGTGGGAGAATTGATCATTTCTAAATTTCCATGCTGGTCAAGTCCTATTTGGACAATATTTTAGCAATTGCAAATACTTTAAAACACACTTTGGGATTTATAAACCCTGCTTGTAGGAAAAAAGTTAAATTCTTATTTGCTTTTATGGAATACTCCCAGATGTGTTATTAAGTTCGGTTCTGTTAAAATGCTATATGCGGTTATTGACTAACTTCCTGCAGTCTTGTTGTCTTCATTTAGCATAAGTCAAAATATGTTGGTCAAAGTAGCTCATTTTAACTAGCAACTTGTTAAAATAAGGCAGTGATCAAAGCATACTGCTCTTGTCTCATAATACCTAAAATCTCAAAAATATTGTAGCAATATGCACAATTTTTATTTCACTAACTTTTTAATTGTCATATTATAATTTTTCTTCTTTACAATTTTTAGTCGTTTCATGCTTACTTTTTATTTTCAGCTTTAAAATTGTACAAATTAATCAGTTTTTACCTGTCTTTGGGGTCCCCTCTTATGAAACTGGAGATTTTATGTATTGTCATAATTCTTTTAAAAATAACGCACTGCTGCATTGCCTAAGTCCTTTTTTAAAAGGACTTAGGGCAGAAAATATGACAATGTTTTCACAAAATTACACTTTCTTAAACCACTAAGATAGGAGTTGAGATAGGAGTTGGTTAAAGATGACAGATGTTAACTTGGATTCATCCTCTGTCGAAATAGTCGATATCTGCATTCACCAGTAATAACAAATCCAGTCATTGACTGTGCATACATTGTAACATTGTAACAATGTTCTTAAAATGCCGTCTCGTTCACTTAAATCTACTTCTGTGTATTGTGTTGTCTCACGATCTTAGACTTAGACTTAGACTTAGACTTGACTTTATTGATCCCTTGGGAAGACTCCCTCAGGAAATTATAGTTACCAGCAGCTCACAGGCAAAAATGTGGCACACAGTAAGCATACACAAAATACAAAAAAATACAAATTAAATACAAAACAAAGAATATAAATACAACACAAAAGGAAATTATAGCAATTTGGTCGATAGATTGACCAGTGATATGGTATTGCACTGTATGGTTTGGCCTGATAAATATGGAGTTCACATTTGTAGAAAAACTACTCCTTCTTCCCTCTGTCCTGTGTCACCTCCGACCCCCCAGTGAGGAGTTGTACAGTCTGAAGACGTGGGGGACAAAGGAGTTCTTGAATCTATTGGTCCGGCACTTGGGAAGCAGCAGTCTGTCACTGAACAGGCTCCTCTGGCTGCTGATGAGAGCGTGTAGAGGGTGGCTGCTATCGTCCATGATGTCCAGCAGTTTGTTCAGTGTCCTCGCCTCTGCCACCGTCACCAGAGAGTCCAGCTTCATGCCGACCACAGAGCCGGCACGCCTGATCAGTTTTGTCCAGTCTGGACGTGTCCTTCTTGGATGTGCTGCCTCCCCAGCACACCACGGTGTAGAAGAGGACACTGGCGATCACTGACTGGTAGAACATCCACAGCAGTTTGCTGCAGATGTTGAAGGACCGCAGTCTCCTCAGGAAGTACATCCTGCTCTGCACCTTCCCGTACAGGTGGCTGGTGTGTTTTGACCAATCCAGTTTACTGTCCAGCCACAGCCCGAGGTACTTGTAGGAGCCCACGACCTCAACCTCCGTTCCCTCTAGTACGACTGGTCTCGGCATTGGTCTGGACCTCCCAAAGTCTATAACCAGCTCCTTCGTCTTAGAGGTGTTGAGTTCCAGGTGGTTTGTGTGGCACCAGAGAGCAAAGTCCCTCACCAGACAGCGATATTCCTCCTCTCCGTCGTCCCTGATACATCCGACTATGGCTGTGTCATCAGCATACTTCTGTATGTGACACAGCTCCGAGTTGTAGTGGAAGTCAGAGGAGTACAGGGTGAAGAGAAGAGGGGCCAGCACTGTGCCCTGAGGGGCTCCTGTGCTGCTGACCACAGTGTCAGACACGGTGTCCTTTAGCCTGACATACTGCGGCCTGTTGGTGAGGTAACTGGATCCAGGTGACCAGGTGCTGGTCCACTCCCATGCTATTTAGTTTGTCCTGGAGCAGAAGGGGCTGGATTGTATTAAAGGCACTGGAGAAGTCCAAGAAAAGGATCCTCACTGTGCCACTGCCCTTATCCAGGTGGGAGTGGGCCCGGTGCAGCAGGTAGAGGATGGCATCCTCCACACCAACATCTGCCTGGTAGGCGAATTGCAGGAGGTCCTGAGCATGTTCCACCTGAGGTCTGAGGAGGCCGAGGAAGAGCCGCTCCAACGTCTTCATCAGGTGTGAAGTGAGTGCCACGGGCCGAAAGTCATTCAGCTCGCTGGGCCTGTTCTTCTTGGGCACTGGGACGATGCAGGATGTCTTCCAGAGGGTGGGCACTTCCCTTAGCTGCAGGCTGAGGTTGAAGATCCGCTGTAGTGGCTCTCCCAGTTCAGCAGCGCAGGTCTTCAGCAGCCTTGGACACACCTGGTCCGGCCCTGCTGCTTTCCTGGGCTTGAGCTTCCTCAGCTGTTCTCTGACCTGGTCTGTGGTGATGTGGGGTGGAGGTTGTGCTGAGGTGTGTGGGGGGGTTGTCAGTGTTTTCTTGTCTGTGGGGAGGTGTGTGGTAAGGAGCAAAGGTGGCTGCAGTGAGAGAGGGGGTTGAATGTATTTGTACACCTCCACCATCCTGACATCCCATATATGCAAAACAACCAAACAAAAAAATCCCTGAACGAACTGGATAAACATTCATACTTCATTATACAAAGTCATGTACAAGCAAAAGTGTCTATGAGTATCAGGTTTTAGGGTATAATGTTTTACTTCCCTCGCTTGTGTTATCCTAAAGGCTTAAACTTTAAATTATAGTTGAGCTGAAGTGTTCTCATATTCATAGATATCTCAGAATTAATATTACAAGACAACATCACCCTTGTGAGAAGGACTTGCGTGAATACACAGCCATAGAAAAAAAAACGCTGTGTATTAAACTAAAAGCATAATGAGATTGTGTTCTTCTTACCCGGTGTTTAACTTGTTGGAGTGGTGAATAAAAGTCCAGAGGCTCGCCTACTTTTAGCCCTCAAACAACTTGTTTCTGGGCTCTCCTGAATCAGAAATGAGCTGCTGTTCCTTGCATGACAAGAATACAAGTTCTTCTTAATTAGCTCTTGAGCGAGACACATTTCAACTCAAGATAGCTGCAAGGCTGCAAAACCTCTTAAAAATGTAACAACCACAGAGTCAAAAGTGATGAATAATAATAGAAATCAAAGAAAGCACTGACAACATTAGTTTTTTTTTTTTTTTTTTTCCCTGAAGTGATTTTATTATAAAGTTCATGAGGACTTACAGTATTACAAGAGAATTTGCCAACATGCGGAAAGAGAACAAAGCAGAACACAGGAGTTTAACAAACTGGTAAGAGAAGACAATCCACTGTTCACAATAAACAGAAAAACTGATTAAGTCCTCAGGAGGTGAGAGCCGGTGAATGACTACAGTGCAGGCATAGAACGGCCACATTCACACTGACTCAGCAAAGGTCAATCCAACCAAGGCAAGATGTGCACATCTCAATAAAACATGTTACAATTTTTATATGCCATCGGCTTTTCTCAACTTTTAGAAAGCTTCACTTGTATGTACATAAAACTGTACAAAAACATGGCATCACAAGCATTTTATCCTATATAAATATACCAACATTTAGGATAACAACTAGATTCTCTCTTGCAAAGACATATTTTCAAGGCAATTGTCTTTGTACTAGATGAACTGTGGAAAAAAGATGAAATGTTCAGTCAATTTCAGTTCCGTCTGGGGTAAGTGGGTCGTCGAATAGAACTAAAATGAGTAAACAGTTTCTACCAATCATCTTTGGGATTCATGCTAAAAATCGTCGCCGGCAGAACAGCAGACTTGGGGTTGTGATGAGGATCTATGTACACCAACGCTACCAACAGATTTAATTTTTTCACACAGCCAGTTTGCAGAGAGTCTTTGATCAGCAGGAAAAAAAAAAGAGAAAGAGAAAACAAACAGCCTTTGCCAATTTTGTTACTGTAATTTGTCCATCTGTGCACATAAATGATCACCATACAATACACATTACAGAGAGGTAAAATATACTCAAGTGAATCCAACATTAAATCAACGTTAAAGTACAAATTAAACATTATCCAACACACTTCTGAGTGTATTTAGGTGCATCAAACTTTTATCAAGAGGAGCATCTTTGTTTCAGAGAGAAGTAAAGACAGTTCACTTAGCTTGAGTTCAAAAGAAAGGGCAATCCTGGTGATATGTATTTTCTCTCCCATTTGTGAACAACAGGATGTCAGGCTGGTTCATCAAGCCAGAAGAAAGGTGGACAAGGTGGGCTTGTTTTTTTATTATTATTATTTTTATTTATTTATATTTTTTAAATCTCCTGTTAATCCATTTCTGTTCAAACAAGATATTTACAAATATTGTCAAAAATTAATATAGCCTTAGGACTCATTGTTTGCCATTAAATCAGGCTAAATCTTTCCTGTTGTAAATCAGCTGGACTACCAAAAATATTTCTTAACTGCCAGAAAATAATGACGAGAAAGAGTTTTCAGAGAATCAGAAGTCAGAAGTTTGCATACATTTCCTTAGTATTTGCTAAAATTGCCTTTCAAACTGTATGACTTTCCACACTGTGGATGTGTGTCCTCAAGTTTATCACAAGAGATTATTAGAATTTGTCTCAATTCTTCTCACTGAATTTGTGTAACTGCATCAGGTTTATAGGCCTCTTCGCTCAAACGCACACCTTTTCAGCTCTGCCCATAATTTGTCTATAGGACTGAGATAAGGGCTTTGTGATGGTCACTGACCTCGTCAGCCTTAAGCCACTTTTGGCCCTTGTCTGCCAGAGCCTACTCAGAGAGGGTTGACTTTGCTCTATACTGTTATAAGAGTTTTCCAATATTAAGGGTTCTGTGGTACAAGCACCTTTTTTTAGAACCTAATTTGCTGGAGTTCCAAGTGTGCAGAGTTGGGCTGAACACATGATGTCAGAAGACTTTTGGCCACTGATTGGCTAGTGGGTGGAATCACTGAGTCACGAGAGCGACTCCATAACAATAATCTGTAAAAACTCACGACAGCTTCCGAGTGTATTTGGAGTTTTCGGACCCTGGGACTGCCAAACTGTACGATAGCCTCTCTTATTAGTGCTGTTACTCAGTTGTGTCAGAAAACCAAAACTTCTTGGTTGATGACTCTATTATGACATCTATGTTGTGAAGTACTGTTCACAGTAAAACTGGTGTTCTATGGCTTGTAAGTTCCCCCTTTCTTTACTGAATATAGGCCAAATGTTATGGCTAAGCATTTTAATTTTTATACGATCACTGAACATGTCTACCAAAATTCAAATCCCTGCTTGTGATTGCCAGTTAGTCTAATTTAAAGTTATTTTGTTTTTGTTTTGAGGTTGAAATACTTTTTTTTTTTTTAAATCAAAACAAGTTCTTCTCAGGAACCCAGAAATTGTAATCTTTCTTAAAAGTAAATGGACATTACTTAGATGCTTGTATTTGTGAATAATTGGTTGAATAATGTGGCACCATCATCTATCTAAAATCAAGATAAACCAGACTTGTGGAGAATCTCAATCCCATCCCTGCTATCTTGTATTCCCATCAGAAAGCAGTGTGTTTCAGCTGTGGGTCTAAAACACATCCACAGGCGTGTCTACATGTAAACGTGTAATCTGTATGTAAACTTCAAGATTTGAAGAAAATAATACAAAAAAAGTGCCTGCCTCATTTTTCTTTTTTTTTTTTTTTCCAGCTGACCTAAAACAGAAAGGGATAATTTAATCTCAGACAGAAAATAAATAGTTGTATTTTTATGAACCGTATCTGAGGTATTGGCAATTAAAGAGACCAACTGAGATATTTTCCAGATTTACTTTAGTGATTGTTAGGCCAGAAAAGGGATGAGAGTTGATCCTTTGGGTGAACCTGAATCGAGTGACAGTATTCGAATAGACAAAGTTGCGACTGAGGCTTTGCGACATTCATTTTATCACTCATTGCTATCTTTCTCACTTGTCATTAATTCCAGGTCAGCGATCTTACCCGCTGCTTTCTGTTGGTGAATCCACAGCTCCGAGATGGCTGGGGGAAGGGAGGTTAATCACAGTGTATCATGGCTTGTTGTTTGAATTTTTATTTCGCTTGCTAAATGGCTTTGAAAGTGGCATAATGTGCTTTCTCCCCCTCAAGGCAGGACATTTGTTGAGTTTATTTAATCATGGCCATGTCCAGTAATCTCCATATGTTTTCTGTTTTAAACAGCCTAAATGCGGCTTGCAGCGGGCAGCGCGAAGAGGTAAGTGCTGTTAAAAATACCCCCGCTTAAATGATTGTAGCTCTGTGGGTGGATTTGCATTGTCTGGTGGGTGCCTTGTCCTGGGGGTGCACTCACACATGCCCCAGCTCAAGACTCATTACTCACCCTAATTAGGAAATGTCCATTCTCGGCTCCTCCACCCTCACTCAGAGGCACAATCTCACTATGGAAATACTCTGCAGAGGTGAAAGGTATCTACAAATCTAATCAAATCGATGTTTAAATCAAAGACACCGACGAGCGCTACAATGTTGTAGTGCAGGTTAGTGGAGTCATCATTAGCATCCACTTACCGCCTAATACATAGTGCCCTTCATACATATCCTTCAAATTTACTTGGAAAATCTGTATAAGGATTTTAAAAAATCTCCCAGGAGTACCCTATTCGTATTCTCTGTTCATGAGTCTGAGAATAAAAATGCCTCATAAATTAATAAAAAAAATATTGTCCTCAATTTAGAGAAACATATCTAAATAAGAGCAATGTCATTACCATGCTTCAATCCTACATTTGAACTTTCTGCTTAAGTTCAATCCTGTCTTGCACAATGCCTTGCAAGAGTCTGCATACTCTGAGCACTTTCACATTACAATCATACACTTAAACGTTTCATTGGAGTTCAGTGTTATAGACCAACATTTGTTGCTATGTATAAAAATAAAAACGCATGATTTTAATTTTTGTAGAAATAAAAATCTAAAAAGAGTTCCCATAATGAGTCAGGACTTCTATGCTATTGCCATAGCAGAATACTGCTACAGCTATGTTTCATTATGCCTTTGTGTTTCTTTACCAGACATGCAAAAGCCAGTCAAATTTGACTGATGCGTCTTAAATGTAGGCATAATCTTACACATCTGTCTGTTTCAGAGGAAGTAGTTGGACTGGATCATACTGCCATTACCTTGTTTCACTGTGAGAATGGTGTATTTAGAGTAATGTGTAGTAACAGTTTTGCATCACATACAACATTGTCGGTCTATTCCATGAAAACTCAACAAAATGCATTGAAATTTATGGTTGTAAAGTGAAAAAAATCTAATAAGAATAAAAAGGTTTACGAATAATTTTGCACTGAATTCTCAAGAATCAAAGTCTGACTTGGAATTCAATCTTTAGTTTAAATATAAATTTTATATTCTTTCATGTCAGGCCCATGTTTATTCTTACTGCAATGAATTATGAATTGAAATTCACATTCAAGGTGGGTTTACCTATCGTGATGCTTAAACAACTTTATTGGTATGATATTCGGTTCCAATAGTAACCATAATCTATTCAAGTGCCGCCCCCCCACACTTTTTTTTTTAACAAAAAAGTAGATCCTCATTCATTAGATCTACATCAATTCTTGTGAACTGCAAAGTTAAGCGAGTACAAACGAATTGTGTCTTGCAAGTGAAGCCCATCTGATTGTCTCAACAGACAGAAACGTTCTGCAACTGGTGCACTGGTATAATCTCAAGTAGGGAGCAAAAAGCCAATCAGAATGTGTCTGGCGAGCTCTGCGTTTGGCCATCGTGACCCTCCAGGTTCTGTGGCCAAGTCAACCGTTTTCATGATGAGCGACAGGTCACAGTGCTGCAAGTCAGTGGGACATAATGTCGCTTTAAATGCTGCCACACAGTTCTCTCCAGCAGTGGCGGAGCTCTACAGGGAGCAGAGGTAAAGGCCATTCTACTATGATTAGGGGTCAAAGGTGTCTGTGTGTGTGGGTGTGTGTGAGTGTGCACACGCGGGGACGCGTGGGATACTGCGGAGCAAATAAATGCCTTCCACAATATCGAGTCCCTCACTGGGAGATGGTTTCAGTCAAGTTTACACAGCAGCAGTAAAGAAAAGCGTAAATATGCTAAAATTCAGAGGCATTCTTAGAAGATTATGCCAGACGAAAATATATGTAGAACACACCATTCAAATGTATTTACAGCTCTGTACATTAAGAACGGCCATCTGATCTAACTCCTGGTCTCAAGTGTTCTGCCTTCTGATATGGCCAGATTAGCTGTCTATTAAATAATACCTATAAAATGGCACAAGAGCACTGATCACAACTTTCAAGAACTCACTTCACAGACTGGGCCTTGCCTAACTACAACAAGAATTTGTCACTGCTAAAGTCGCTATTTCCACTTGTGATTCTTGTCTAACTTTCTGGATTGTATCCGTTGAGAGCTTCAATAAATAAACGAGGGAGTGCATCAATTATCTTTGTGGAATCATTCCAAGATTTGCTGATGAGCTGATAATTTGAGTCAGAAATGACGAGTGTTCATGCCAGTGATTAAATGAGTTACGACCAATAGTTACTTACAACCCAACTGTAGGCTTTAGAATGTGGACAGTCTTTTTTTCTGTCTTCTTCTGAAGTGGGTGTAGCTTTTCTTTGTGTACCAATCTGTTTCTCACAGGTAAATCTCTCGTTTGGGGGTGTGAGCAGAAGGGGACGTGGGCGGGAACTCAGAGGCCACGCTCAGGGGCATCTCCTCTACGGGACAGTCCTGACTGGGGTCCTGGCCGCTGCTGGAATAGGCACTGCGGGAGGGCGGAAGGCGCGACCGGTGCTCTTCTCCACCCAGCCTGGCGCTGCCGTTGGCCAGGCGACCCAGACTCCCTCTCTCCTGGTAAGGCACAAATGTGGAGAGCTTGGGGGGGTTCCTGGTCTTCCGCATGGGGGAGGGATGCCCCGGCATCCAGCAGGCATCCGAGTGACCCAATTCACTGCATTCGGTTGTGCAGTTTCCGGTCATCGCCACGTCAGGGAGGGAGCGGATGTCTGTGAGCAGGTAAAAAAGAAAACAACACTTTCAGTGAGAGCCTTGCTCTGGAATTATACTCATTGTGGAATTAAAGTAGCAAGAAATGGCATTTGTGAACAGAAACGGTGTCATCTTATGCACCCCATAAAACCCCAGACCCTCCACCCCCATCTTTGAGGTCTGTGCAGCTGTTGCTAAGCAGTCAGCAGCAGTTGCTATGTAGCTGTCGCTATGCACTGTGTAATGAGCGCTACTGTGTGTGTAGTCCACAAGCTGGTGTGGTAGATGCAAGAGGCGACATGCTGTGTCTTTGTCATTTAGAAGTATCCCCCAGCAGTCTGTCTGGTATATTTGTAATATATCATCATATCATTAAAATGTTCAACAGGAACTTATTTCCATTATACATGATCTCCGTCCTGTGAATAGAACACTCAAAATGTTTCAGCATGGAGGGGGAATTAAAAAAAAAAAAAAAAAAAACGAAGGCAGGAGAAATACACACATTTCAACAACACACACTGGAAACATGCAGTGTTCAGTTACGGAGGGGATATCTGGATCCTTTAAGGGAAGGGAGAAGAAAAAAAAACATTGCTGAATGAGTTATTGATTGACAGCACTGAAATGAGTTCCCTGCCCTTGATTATCATCCATTTTTTATTCAGCTACTCCTAATTAAATAAATGGGTCCACAACCCAGTGACCTCGTTTTTTACACACAAGTCGAGAAAGCTCCAAAATAAGTTTGCATGAGCTATCACTTTGGAGCAGTCTCACACTTTCTGAAGCCAAACACAGCTCCGGGGAGGCGCTCTGTTTGTCGGCCAGAAACGTGCAGCTGGCCGTCGGCGGGCTTGCCAATCGTGCACCTGTTGACAAGCTGAACATGCAGCACGGATTAAATGAAAATACCACTCTGTTATCGTTTCTTTTTTCTTTTTTTTTTTATCCCTTTACACTCATGCTGGGACAAGTCGGATCAATGTCTGAGAGAGAGGAGCAGATAGCAAAGATCTGTGTCTCTGTGATGCGACTGACGAGAAAAAGTTGTGATTGCTGTGATAAACGCATTACGCTAATGCCACAAGGCTGTCCACACCATGCGGAGACGTGTCCATTATGGATGCTCTGTTCATGTTCCATGGTTGCAGCACAGCGTGCGAATGAGAGAAAGTGTTTACACACACACACACACGCAAACACAGCAAACTGAGGGAAGCGGCTGAATGGGACTGATGCAACCACAAAGGATGACGTACTGGAGGTAGCAACAAGAGTTCAAAGTTAACAGACAGAGTGCCAGCTTGACGGAAAGCCTGGGAGACATTTCGCCAGTATTGTACTCATGACCAGTGGCAAGATAATTAGCCCACAAAATGTCAGACCACTGAAGGCAGGAGAATTGCATCTGGTTCACCACTGCTTCAGTCAATCAAAATACACAGGGTCCCTGTGAGAACAAGGTCTCTACCAATTTTCAATGTCCAAAATACATACTTATTCAGTCTGAAATGTTCAGAGTTCTGCGTGTTTTTAAAGCACATTTCAAAAGTGAAACATTCACCTTTGAATTTATGCTGACTTTAAGAATAAAATGTAGAGAAGTCCACAGACAGGAAAAAAAGAAATACAACAAGGGGAGGGAAAGAATAAAGGACATGCAGTTTGAAGGAAGAACATAAGTAAGTATATATATATATATATATATATATATATATATATATATATATATATATATATATATATATATATATATATATATATATATATATATATATAGCAACTTTTTTTTTTTAATTTATTTTATTTTTATTTTTTATTTTTTTGCCTTTGTCCACACATAGATGCTCTAGTCCTGTTTTATTATGCCAATAAAATTCCATGGAGCGAGAACACTAGGGTAACTGTAACTTTAAAATTTATTCAAATTTTCTTTTTAGTACAATTTTGATACATATTTGACCTTCAATGACCCCATTTCAGAAAACCAACAGTATCTATAATTAAAAACTGTCTTAGAGCTCAGTCTCCAAAGAATGAAGGAAAATGAGGACCAAATGACACAAGGAGGAAAGGATTCATGGACTCACACAAGGAGAAAAGGAGACAGAACACCAGGAAAAAAAAGAAGGGCACAAAACAACTGATCAAAGGGCATGAGTGAGAGAGGAAGAAAGAAAGAAAGTAATAAAAAAAGAAAGGAAGCACAAAACAAAGTAATACAGGAGAGAGTGGCACTAGAGAGGATGATTGAAGGAAAGACATAGACAATGGGGTAGGAAATAATATCTGGAAATAAAAAATATTTTCTGACAATCAACTTTTGTTTCTTCAAACTTATCCAGACCTGAAAAAGACTAAAATCAAATTCCAGATTTTTTCTTGGCTGAATATAAAGACTCTGAGACACGGTGCGTATGTGTGCGCGTGTTTGTGTGTGTGCCAAGACTTTCAACTGCTTCACGACTAACAAACTCATAATGGAGGGTATTTCTTTTTATTTCTTCGTCCATATTGGTAACTATTTATTTCTTACTGGTAATCCATATATAATTGTCCCATTGTTTATTGCAGTAATAACAACTGGGCGAAGAAGAATGCATAGCTTGAGCCGTTGTTGCAGCTAATCTCATTGTTTCTCTAATCCAAAGCAGCAGGATGTTTAGGCTATTTAATACATTCACCGCACAATTGGGGAATGTTCTGCCTTATTCATGCCTAATTAATTACCAGGATGCTTAAGTCAAGGCTTGTTTATGTTTATGAGGCCATTGTAATTGAGCTAGTACTGTTTTCAAATGAATTACCTATAATATTATGTTTGATTCAGAAGGGGGAAAAAAGCTGCTTTATTAAAATATTCATAGTATCTAAACTTTTCCACAACAAAACAAATCCCACTGGAACTGCAAATAAAGTTCAACATATCATGTTGGGATATTATGTGAAGTATCATTGACTGATACTGATATTTTTTTCTCTCTCTCATTTATTTTTAAACAAATGAAGATCTGAAAAGTGCGGCATGCGTTGCTACTCTGTCTTTCCCTGTGGTTACTTTGCACCAGCAAAACCTTTGAAGAATGTCTCTTTGGCTTTTAAATAGCAAAATACCTCTGACTCGTTTTGCATGGAGAGCAGCTCTTTTTATTTCTACATAATCAGTTGGATTTAGGACTGGACATTGACAAGGCCATTCTATCACGTGGATATGTTCTAAGTTCTAGCCACCTTTTCATTAAATCTGACCTGTTGCTGTGGAAAAGCATTGCATGACGTTTCAAGTATGGTGTTTCACTTTGCTCATGGTGACTTGCAATGTCAGTTTTCATCTACACACAGCATCGTGAATGAAGACCAAATTTTTCCGGTATTATTTGACCAGAGCGCCTTTTTCCAATTTCTTCTGAACACAAATGCATGCCACGCTTTTCAGAGTTTTATTTGCACAGAGAATTAAAAAAGAAAAAAAGGAAAAAAAAAAATCATTTTCCTTCCACTTTTTGTTTGCCTATCACACAAAAGCATAATGAAATGTATTGGAGTTTTACATTCTTTTACATTTTGAAATATATCCAAAATAATAATAATAATAATAATAATAATAATAATAATAATAATAATAAATCGAGGAATTTGAATACTTTTGAAAGATATAGTGACTGCGTAAAATGACGAGCAACTGGGAAAAAAATGAGATCCACATGTGCGTGGCCGTGTGCCACCTCCTCCTTGACGAGCGGAGTTTCATTTTCACCAGCTCTGCTATCTGCAGGCGTGGTCAGGATGCATCACAGCAGCGAAAATGGACTGGAGCTGCAGGAGAGGTTCACAGGAAGCGAGGTTTGAGGAGCACGCTTTTAAGTACAAGTGCAGTCGCATAGGCATCTACCCCAAAATGGATTTCACACTTGATTAAAACTTCTCCACGGCTTCTAGGAGGTTTGCGTCTCACCATGAGGCAACATGTTCAAATCGGAGCAGCTGCACATCTACAAAGCCGTGTATGGTGATGGGTGGGGGGTGGAAATGGAGCACCTTTTTTCAGGGGTCTGGGGGGGGGTTTAGAAATGCACCACAGGCATTACTAGGGCATATTTTTGTCTTGATGAATTAGAAATTACCAAGAAAGATGCACAAGTGATCAGAATTGGCACCAGTGAAGGCACCCACATTCACAGTCAACTTCTGAATGATATAGATCACTCATGTCTGCCTGTTTCATGAGAGCTTTCCCCTTTTAACTCCTGAGTCCAGAGAAAGAAAAGATGAAAGAGTCTAAGGTTAACACTGATTGCTGTATCTTGACTGACTGTCAGCCTGGTGATTCACTTCAGGTTGAATGTGTTTTTAGAAAAGATAACATGAAGTTGTTTAAAGGAATGCCAAGCAAAAGAAAATGCGTTATGAAAAATGACACATTGCACCGGTGACTGGAGTGCGCGCCGCTCACGCTGAGCCCTCCTCATCATTATCAAGGGGCAGAAAATCTGTGGTGACAGATAAATACACAACTCGTACGCCAAAGTCATGTCATTTTCCACCAGAATTGCCAAAGCATGCATTTCATGCCAACAGTTTTCAAGGCCATTTACTACATTGGTTAGTCTCTCCGACTATCCCCATTTGAATTGGTGTTATTCAGAGCGGGGCTCTGAGAGAAACCGTCTGTTCTTAACACACAATTTAACAGAGTAGTCTATCGTCAGCTCTGCTCCGTGCGATCATTAACGTCCTTTACTGAACGCCACTTTCATTTACGCACGTCGGTTTTCCAAACAAAGAGTTGCTGATTATGTTGCACTGATGCCATGTTATGACAGGGTGTTTTATCGGCAAAGCACAAGTTGTGGTTTCTTCTTTTTTTTCTTTTTTTTTTTTTACGTTGAGCTGACCTTTCAGTCACACTCAGATCCATTTCCACAAAGAACAATCAATGCTGATAATTATACTTTGGTGTCTGGCTTTGTGTCATGGCCATTAGCTGGTAGTGGCTGCGGTGCACTACCAGCTA